AGAGGGTCCACCAAATGCTAATGAGGCAGCTGGGGCCAGGGGCGCCCCTTGGTGGTCCCCATCCATCCTCCATCTCCCTGCGTGGCTGGGGAAGGCTCTCACACTCGCTGCCAGGGCAGAGGACCTCCTAACAAGCAGGGCTGTATACCAGGAAGTGAGATAAGGGTTCAGGGGGCCAAGGAGGAGCGGGAAACTGCAGCGCCACCCACACCAACATGGTACTGTGAGAGTGTCAGGAAAGGGGACCCTGTGCTGCCAACTGGATCCCCTCTTCCTTCAGGTCTCTGTATAAGCAGCATCTCCACAAGACTTTTTCGGAACCCTGTATTGAGAACCGCACCCCTGCCCAGGCAGAGCTCCTTGGCACAGCCTGTGTCCTGTACGAACGACACACATGCCAGGCAGGTTCTCATAAGTTTCTGTTGAGGTGTGGATGCGTCTATGTGTATGTGTGTCCACAAGCATATGGAAGCCAGAGGTCAACTTCAGGTGATGGAGGAAGGTCATTGGTTAATTATAATAAACCAACTGCTTGGCCTCATAGCTTAGAACATAGATGGGAGGAGTAAACAGAATAGAATTCTGGGCGGAAGAGGAAGTGAGGTCAGACTCTGCTCTGCTTCCAGAGGGACCGGACAGCTCTGCTCTCTGGAGCAGAGACGCCATGCTCTGCTCTCCCAGGCAGCTCCAACCCACGATGGACTTAGGCTAGAATCTTCCCAGTAAGCGCACCTTGGGGTGCTTACACACATCATTAGAAATGGGCTAGTCCAGGTGCGAGAATTAGCCTGTAAGGGCTAGAGTTCATGGGCCAAGCAGTTCTTAAATGAATACAGTTTGTGTGTTGTTATTTCGGGCATGAGCTAGCCAAGCGGCTGGGGTGTTGGGGACGCAGCCCCGCCGCTCCTATTTCAACAGATGGCTGCCCAATGTGAGGATAACTAAATCCACAAAAGCCTGAGAAAGCTTGGTAAAGAATGGAGTGAAGCATATTTTCTTGGTAGCAGAAATTTCTTGGGTCTGCTCCGCTTGCTAGAGGCAAGCAAGCGCTCTCTAAGAGAGGCTTTCTGACTCAGCTTCAGTTGCAAAACCCTGCAGCTCATTAAGAGGTCCTGCCACGAAACACTTAAATGGTGTTGACAAAAAGCTGAACACATGCTTTTCAGTTTTCAGCCGTAGCAGGAAAATGTTGTGTTGTTTTAAAATGTCGGCTTTCTGGGCCATCCTGCCAGGGCAAACTCTGACTGTTTGAGGCAGGAGGGCCGGCTACAGAGAGAGGACTTGAGTGTTATCTGTTGTAGCTCGCTGGCTGGCAGGGACCTTGAAACGCCATAGAATTGTGACTATAAACCTGACTACAGCCTGTATCTCCGCCGTGAGGCTGAAAAGCTAAGGAATGGACTGGATCTACCTGGCAAAGCCACGGCTTTAATCCCACTCATATTGCTCAGTAAATTAAAGACTCATGTCGTCAGAAAAAGAGAGATATACAGTAAAGAGAAATTCAAAGATAAAATGTTGAAATGATTTACAGTGTGTTAAAAATATATGCAAGTTAAAAGTTAAAAGTTCTTAAAAGTAAAAAAAAGGAACAAAGAGAGTAGTTAGGTGTGGTAGTACACACCTTTAATCCCAACACTTGGGAGGCAGAGGGAGATTGACCTCTGTGACTTCAAGGTGTGGTAGCACACGCCTTTAATCCCAGTGCCTAGAAGGCAGAGACAAACAATCTCTGTGAGTTCAAGGTGTAGTAGCAAACACCTTTAATCCCATTGCCTGTGAGGCAGAGACAGGCGGATCTCTGAGAGTTCAAGTAGAGCCTGGTCTACAGAGTTATTCCAGGTCAAAGAGATACAGAGAATATAAAATAAAAGTAAAAGTAAAAGAAATTGAGGTTAAAATAAAGCATACAAAGATGGAAAATACACAGAGAATCTTGATACTGTATGCTATTATGCTCTCTTTGAAGTGTTTGAATGCTGAGGAAGGAGCAACAGATGCTAAAAGATATTTGTTTATAAATGCTGCTGAACTAATCCATCGTAGAGATTTTGATGCCTTGACTTTGAAATTTGGATCTAAGGACATGATGCTTTCGAAAGGAGTTTCCTATTTTGTTTTCACAGAGGATGAGACCCTGTTCATTTCTTCTATTCCGATATGGTATGATGGACCACGCCCTCCTGAACGGTTGCTGTGAATACCTTCAGAAAATTGCTTCGCTCAACTGCCAACTGAGATGAAACTAGCACACAGGTTATACCATGAAAGACCTAATTAACGACGCCCCCATTCAGCAGGAAGCAGTTTGGAGAGAAAAAACTGCGCCCATGTTCCCAAATATTGTTTATAAATGTTCTTTTACATTTAAAGGGGGAGATGATATAGGTATGAATAATTTACATTGATATGGATTTTGCTTTAGTGATTTAAATTTAAGGTTAATTTTGTAATGCATATAGGTTGTTAATGAATAATCATTAATAATAGTTAAGTTTGTAGTCATGTTAGTTAAGATTTTCTAGATGTGCATAGATATATTTTAGATAGGCATTCTTCATATTTTTCAAAGATTATAGAATATGGCATTTTAAATGTTTTAATAACTTAGGACTTTTCATGACAATGAGACACTCTGCTCCTGGCAGCACCAATCTACTTCAAGAGGAAGATGGGCATCGAAGAGGATCCTTATGGAGTTTGATAGCCATTTGGGCAAGAAACTGCTCTTGCCTGGACTATTGCATAAACTGGACACAGAGAACCCGCAGAGAGAGGACTGCTGAACTTGCCTAAAGGTGAGATGATCTTTCGGGGTTCCTGATTCATGAAAGAGTCTGCAAGACATTCTTCAGGACAAGCAGATAGTGACTGCCTTTGAAATTTCCTGCTTTGTGGAAATGTCTGCTGGAAACTATGGGCCTGTAGGCCGAAGATGGATGCCCCAACGGTACAGAGGAACTTTGGGTGACTGTCCAGGCAGTGAGATGTCTCTGTCATTTCTAGAGTTTGAGAGTTTGCTTATTTCTTATTTGCTTAGGTAATATTGTATCTTTCTGGACTCTTTGATGGAGTTAAGAATAGTTAGCTATAGTTATAGTTTTCCTTAGTTATGATATAGATTATTGTAATTTTTACTTGATAACTGTTTTGTTATATGTAATTTTGCTATGTTAAGTTAAAGCCTTCCTTTTTTTTGTTTAAACAGAAAAAGGGGAAATGATGGAGGAAGGTCATTGGTTAATTATAATAAACCAACTGCTTGGCCTCATAGCTTAGAACATAGATGGGAGGAGTAAACAGAATAGAATTCTGGGCGGAAGAGGAAGTGAGGTCAGACTCTGCTCTGCTCCCGGACAGACCCGACAGCTCTGCTCTCTGGAGCAGAGACGCCATGCTCAGCTCTCCCAGGCAACTCCAACCCAGGATGGACGTAGGCTAGAATCTTCCCGGTAAGCGCACCTTGGGGTGCTTACACACATCATTAGAAATGGGCTAGTCCAGGTGCGAGAATTAGCCTGTAAGGGCTAGAGTTCATGGGCCAAGCAGTTCTTAAATGAATACAGTTTGTGTGTTGTTATTTCGGGCATGAGCTAGCCAAGCGGCCGGGGTGTTGGGGACGCAGCCCCGCCGCTTCCTATTTCAACATTCAGGAATGGTTTCTCAGGCACCACCTACCTTTTGTTTATGAGACAGAGTCTCTCGGCCTGCCTCATTGATTAGGCTAGACTTATTGATCCCCGAGGATCTCCCTATCTGTGCCTCCGCAGTAATGGGATTACAAGCATGTGCCACTATACCTGTATTGTGTGTTTGTGTATGTATGCATGTACACACTTGCTTGTGTCTGTCCATCTGTCTGTTTTCAGTCTCCTGGAGAAGGTCAGGACACTTGGAGATGGTTCTCTTTCCACATGTGGGTCCTGTGTATTGAACTTGAGCCCACAGGCATGGCAGCCAGTGCCTTTGCTTGCTGAGCCGCCTCACCAGCCGCCCACTGTGATGTTTGTGTATGTGCTACAGACTGGTGCTTATCATCTGAGCCATCTCCAGGGTCAGGGCTATTAATTCTATCAAACTGTCAAGTGACTAGAACTTTTGCTTTGACCAAACTCTTGACAAAAGAAGCCTCTTGTGACATCATTTCCAAACGCCAGAGAATTTCATCTCCATAAGAGTCAAGTAAAGGAACACCACTGTTGTGCCCATTTTGGACACAAGGTAACCTGGGCTCAGAGCAGCTAAGTTGCCCAGAACCCCTTGTGGAGAAGCAGCTAGTGATTGGAACCTGTGTGGAGAGACTGCTCTGGACTCTACTTTGACCCTGACCTTTGAGGGACATTATGGTCTCTGCTGAAATCCCCTAGATGTCCAGTAACAAAGGCATGCTTCTGCTCCCTGGGGGCTGCATCCTGGGCTGAATTAGTTAGTCCCAGCTTCCAGAACCTTCCCTACTCAGACTCAGGAGTCGAGGAGACTCAGAAAAGCCTAAGACACACCGTATTCAGAAGGGCCTTATCTTTTTGCCCCTGTTCCTGAAGGAAGCATACTTTGGAGAATGCCGGGTGAGCAAGCCTGGGGTCTTCCTGGTCTTGTATCAGGGAGTATGGTGGAGAACTGGTCCTTGTATCCACAGTTGGGCCACCCTATTTAGAGACAGGAGGTCTCCAGGACAGTCCAGCTTCAACAGGCCCAGGCTCCCAGATGATCCTAACTGGCTCGGCCAGCTATTTCCCCATTGCTCCCATAGGCCTATGGCTGAGGCTTGCCTGCTTGGAGCCCTGGCTAGTCCCATAGCTCAGCTCTCAGAGGAGTCCCTACCAGATGCCCCAGTTACGTACTTCAAACCAGCTCCCCTATGCCCAAACTCTGGATGTGGCTATAGCATCCTGAAATCTTTGGGTTTTGCTGTCAGCCCTACAACCTTTTCCAGTCCTCATGGAAGTGACACCCCCTAGATGGCCACCCAGAGCACAAGACCAACTAGATTACAGCTGATTTCTTGCTTTATTCAGATGCCCACACCCACTGCCAGTGTCTTCTGAACCCAGTCTCAGGTTCAAGGTCTGGGAAGGGGCAGGGGAGGTTTTACTAACTTTGAATTCCCCAGCTCTCCCCAGCAACATGTCTTTCCCCTTCACAGACACAAGATGCAGGCCTGGTGGGAAGAGCCAGTCTGGCAGTCTTTAACGAGGAGAGAGGCCCTGGCTAGGGCCCTGCATGCTCTCGCTGGGCTGTGACTGATTCTGGCCGAGGTTCAGGGAGTTGCTGATCTGGTGTGTGACAGCGTCCGGCCTCTGAATCAGGTTCGGGATCCCAGATTCTCCTAAGGAGCAATGAAACTCAAATCCTGTGTGCCCCCAGTCACCTGCCAAGCTACTGAGAGCCATGTTCTTCTGTGGAAGCCTCAAACACTTTCTCCAAGTCCCAGGCTCCAGCAGAGGTCACGACTAAGTAAGAGGACTCTACCAGGAGACTCAAAGGCTGGGACCAGGAAGGCCTTCAAAATCACTTCTCATCGTTTCCTGGTTCAAGATGGGAACCCCATGGCCCATAAAGTGCTCAGCCCCCACTTTTTTACCTCTTAGCATGGGTGACAGGTTCAAGGACCCAGTGGGCATTGGTGGTGCAGAGGGTACCACCTCCTCCCCTATCAGCATCTCTGCCAGGACTTGTGTCTGTGTCCAGTCACTATGGCTCCTGGATGGATGTGGAGGAAGAATGAACCTAGTGTCTCCAGGCCTCCCTCTCCCACTCCAGTACCCCAGGTTTGACCCACCTCTCTCGTGGGGGCTTGGAAGAGCCGGGGCTTGGTGGAGGTGCTGAGGGTGGGGCCCTTGCAGAAAGAGATATGTGACCTGGGGCCTCGGGCCCTAATTCCTGCTGAAAAGACCAAAGCCCATACTGGGTGAGCTCAGGCCTTCATGTCTGGGTACCATTTCCCCAGTGCTGACCTCAGCTATGCCAGCAGCACAGGATACCAAGAACAGAGGCCAGTATGAGAAGTCTGTGACCTACAGCTGGTTCTTGTAATGCCTGTCCCCAGTATTGGGAGCTCCTTGAAGGCAGAGACCAAAACAGAGGTGGGCCCAAAGCTTAGGATGGCTTGGGGAGATGTCCAGAAGGCATGGGTGAATGGATGAAGAAGTGGATGGAGACACGGATGAATATATGTGAATGAAAATATGTGAATAAATGAGCGAGACAGTGCTCTCCTAAAGAAGGCAGGATCGGAGACCAGGCAAGCAGACATTCCACACCCTGGGCAGAGAGAAACCCAGACCGAGACTTCACCCCCACGTCCCAGTCCAGAGCCCTGGAATCACCAGTGTCTCCAGTTCTTCAGACTCACCTTGGTCTTTCTTACCTGTGGCACATGGCACTCCCTCCGTGGGCAGGCCCAGTGGGCCAGGGATACTCGGCACAGAGGACAGAGGTGAAAGCAAGGGCAGAAGGGTGGCAGTGCCTGCAAGAGGGCTGATATGACTATGACATTCCATCTTGTCTTCCACAACCCGGGATGAGCGGGGACTCACACGGCAGGAGGCAGCTGGACCCATGGAGCAGGGGCACATGGAGGCAGAGCCCTGCTGGGGAAGGGCAGGAGCAGAATGGAGGTGCCTGGGAAGAAAAGTGGGGTCTGAGCCTTCAGTTCTCAACCTTGACACCTCTGTATGACCTCACCTGCTCATTCGCAAACAACTCCATGAGGCTGCCAGGCCAAGACCCCACCTCCCAGAAGAGGGGCCCAGTAAATTCATGGTCCAATGATTAGCTGAGGGTGGCACAGGCAGCCAGGAGGTGACAGAGGCAGAAGCCAAAGGCAATGCTCAGAATCAGAAGCCTGACGTGGACTTCATGAGGTCCCCTCTGCCAGTTTCCATGCCCCCCCGCCTTCCAAATGGCTAACTCACCTTTCCAGTTCATGGACCTGCTGGGCCAGGACTCTCTGCTCTGCCCGGGCAAGGTCCCGACTGCTCCGCAGCTGTCTCATTTCCTTCCTGTCAGGGGTCAGCCCAAGTGATGGAGGCAGGACCAGCACCACCAAGGGGAGCAGAGAAACAGGGATGAGTAGGTAGTATCTTAACCAAAGGAGATGAGCAAGACAGGGTAGGGACAGGGTTGGCCCCATCTTGCTTTACCGAAGCCTCTCATTCTCCAGCATAAACTCCTGCAGCATGCCATAGAGGTTCCGCTGGGCCCAGGCCACCCGGGCCCCGTGGATCCCTGGTGCTGTGGAGAAGCAGAGCATTGCTGTGCTGCTACCTACACCCCTCCCGGCCCCCAGGGGGCTCATACCCTTAGTCCTCATTTGATCCAGCTGGGACCGCAAGTGACGATTCTCCTCTTGGAGCTGCAGCAGCTCAGCCGCTCCTTGCTGGGGGGGCTTTGCTCCAGGGGACTGCCAAGGAAGAAACCCAAGGTCCCTGTTTATGACGATACAGGCTGGTACACTGCACAAGAGCTTCCTGGGGGGGGGGATTTGTGGAGCCCAAACTCCAGCCCTTGCTTCAATTGCCAGCTCTGTGTGCTGGCCCAGGCTGCACCTTGTCCTCGCTGGGCCATTATGAAGGGACTCGGAACCAGACTTGATTTCACGCCCAAACTCATTTCTGGCCCAGTCTTAGCTTAGATTGTGATCCCCAAATTAACCAAGTATCAGACCCCATATTAGACCTAACCAGCTCAAATCCTGGATAAATCCTGATAACAACCCACCCAACTTAGTCTTTAGCCCTAGGTTTGCCCAGACTCCTGTGACACAGACCCTTGACTATGACCCTGACATCAATCATGACATCATTCCCAGGATTCCAACCCAAATTCCAACTCTGATCCAGTCCTAGACTTCAACCAGGATGAAGACTCAGGCTCTGGCTGTTGCCCGCCCACCTTGGAACCCTGTGGCCGGGTGGTGACCCTCTGAGCTCGGCTTGCATATCGCAGGGTGCTGAGAGTCTCAGGAAGGCACTGGGCTGACGGAGACACGCAGGCAACCTAGAAAGGACCTCCCCTGAGTGCGTCTGTGGAAGAAACCCTTCCTCAGGGCCCAGCCCCTCTACCAGCTCCCCTTCCATCGGATACCATGAGGGTGATGCCACGGCCCCCGAGTGAGTCTGCCAGCAACTTGGTGAGCTTGCTGTCTCGGAAGGGAATGTGGCTCTGCTTCCTCTGTGGGTCCAACAGCAGGGAGATGCAGTGGCCTGGTGGGAAGAGGGAGACCCAGAGAAATTGCACTGTGTGCCCAAAGTTGTCTGGCTGGACTGCTACGGAGCAGGAAGCTCAGCCAGACCTGTGAAACTGGAGTCTCAACTCATCAATTTTCATGTTAGTGTCCAGCGGCAGACTGAGTTCTCTGGAGGTACAGGTGTGGTGCCCACCCAGTGTCCAACATTCAACAGAGACTCGTGAGATCTCCAACGAATAACTAACTGAAAAGGGACATCACCTGCAGCTCCCACACCACAGGCAAGTATTGAGGCCAGTTCCCTGGGGATCTGGGGCCAGCCATGCAGGTGGTACACAGACCCATTCCTTTCTCCTTACTGTGTCTTCCAAGTGTATATATGTAATGTTGCAGACCTCAGAATGATAACCAGAGGGGCAAGTTAGCCTCACACTTGATACCGGAACGCCAGCCCTCATCTGTAACTACAAGACCCACGGTCTCCCTAGTATAGCAATGGATCCAAAGCAGAGAAGAGACCCAGGAGTCAGGTCTGTAGGCTCCAGTTCTTACCCAGTGCCAATAGACTGCGGTTAATACTATTGGCCTCGAGCATCAGCTGCCCTCGGGATCCTGTTGCTGAAACCTTCTCACTGCCTGCCAGGTCCACGAAGCACAGCTTGCCCCCAACAGGAGGTTCCCCAGGGTCCACAGGGGGTACCTGCTGAGGCTGGTGGAGCAGGGCTTGATGGGAATTTGGAGAAGACTGTCTCCATCAAAAGTCACAAGGTCTTCAGGTTAAAGGACCCCCCCACACACACATCCAGAAAATCCCAGTTGGTTTATACATGCAGAGACAGATCTTTGCTGGTAGCCTTTCCCCAGCCCTCCCCCAGGATGGGCACTCACAGTTGGGCGGCTGACATAGAGCGTGAGCAGGGCATGGCTTCTGCTGGAGGCCTGGTTCAGGGTATGTGAGGAGCTCTGACGGCGGCTGAGACCTGGGGAAGGGGACATCAGGAGCTGTACCAGCTAAGAAGAAGCGGGTGTCAGAGAGGTCCTCAGACAGAGGCACAAAGGACCGGCTTAGGGAGGGAGCACGGACAGGTGAAGGAGCATGTGAGGAGAGAGCAGAAGGCAGAGAAGCACCTCTCCTGCTGCGTGGAAAGGAAGCAATGAAACAGAGCTCCACAGAGAGTAGAATTGCGGGGCCAGGGCCAGTGTTTGTGGCCCCAGGTCTGCCAGAGGAGGGTTCTCAGTAAATGCTCAGATGAGAAACTAAGGCTGGAAGAGTAGGATCTCATAGAGAAGCTAGGCTAAGGGGCGTGGCCATTGCCTTAGGCTCTGCAGGAGTGGAAGGCATGAATCAAGAGGACTGAGCAAGAGGCATGGGCAGGCGATCTGGAGGCAAGGCAACCAGCTTGTGGACACCTTTGCCACATCTTTAAATTGCTGCTTGACTGGTCCTTCTCTGCTGGTGTGGGACAATGGTCTGTAGCCTGTCAATTGTATTTTAAATAAATGCTGATTGGCCAGTAGCCAGGCAGGAAGTACAAGCAGAACAACCACACAGAAAGTAGAGGTGCAGCAATGAGAATTCTGGGAAGAGGGAAACTCTTTTGGCAGTCCTGGCCCAGCCACAAAAGAAACAAGATGTGACTGTCTCGCTAAATAAGGTACTGAGCCATGTGGCTAACATAGAATAATGGGCTAATATAAGTTATAAGAAGCCTGAGCTAATGGGCCAATCAGTTTATAGTTAATGTAGGCCTCTGTGTGATTTCTTTAGGATTGCAGACAGGTAAGAAAGAACTCAGCCAACACTCTGCCACAAGTGTTCTTTCTTAAGTCCCAATTCCAGCAGCCCAGATCCCCAGGGTGCCACAGAGGGAGTTGAAGAATCCTTGCTCACAAAATTTCCGTGAAGCAGCCTACCCATCTGCAGGAGCTCCATCAGGGCCTCCAGACTGACAAACTCCACCACCCGAAGCTGCTCCACATAGAAGCCTCGAGCCTTGCTCCACCTAACAGGCAGAGGCCTCGTAGACCCCAGGCTCAGCAAGTCCCGAACCTGGGAGAGGAGGAAGAAGCAGGTTCCATCCACTCACAGCCCTTTGACAATGGTCCCCCCCCCTTCTGCGTCTTAGCATCCTTGGTCCTTGGAATATATGGCCTTCTTCTATCATTTGCCTGCCTACCTGCTCATTGTAGATCTCCAGATAGGAGGCTCGGAGGGTGAAAGGAAAACCCAGGTGATGCACGCGATCTAATAGCCAGGCGAAGGTCCTCTGCATAATGCCAGTCAGGCTGGGGGGCACGGGCACCCCTTCCCCCTGGGGTCAAAGACAGCAGGAGCTGCAGCAGCATACTAAGGGCCACCCTCTTAGCAGTGCACTGTGCTATAAGCGATACCACGCCCCCCCCCCTGCACAATGTCATTGGAATCTCAGTCAATAGTTTATCAGTGCCACCCCACAGACAAATTAATTTAAAGTTCCAAACTCTGCAAGACCCTGGACTCCTTCCCTTCCTCAAACACCAAGTAAATAAACCAATAGGGCGGGATTTATTTTACCACGCCCCCTTCCGCCCAGTAGTCCCGCCCACAAGCCGACGGGCGGGGGGTGGACGGAGCTCAAACCAGTTACTCACCTGCGGAGGGGGTCCTGTCAGAGTGTAAGTCTTGCCCGATCCTGTCTGGCCAAAAGTGAAGACGGTACAGGAGAAACTGCGGGTAACAAGGGCATGGCTGGCCCCAGGAGGCGGAGATGGGCAGGTGCGGAGACCCATTCATGGTGCAGCCCACGCCTCACTCACCCTTGCAGCGCCAGCTCGCCCAGGCGCTTCACCCCGCATGCTCTGAACACGTCCTCCTGCGTGCACGCCCCATCCAGTACTGCACCGAAGCGGAATGCTATGTCGGGGCCTCCACCTGGGGGCCTCACCTGGAATGAGGATGGCATACCGGCGGGCACTGTGCAGGGCCAGGCACCCGGGAGGGCGGGGCACTCTGAAGGAAGGGTCTTTAGAGTAGACACGACACCCTCGAGGGGACAGACCCTCTGGGATGAGTGAGGCACTGTGTAGGATTAGGGACACTCTGAAATTGGCTGGGTATCTAGGAGGAGTAGGGCATTCTGGGGTGGGAGAGGGCACCCTGGGGAGGCGGGACAATTAAAAGGAAGGCGGGGCACTCCGTAGAGGAGGGGCAATCTGTGGGAAAAAGGATCCTAAGGCTATGTTGCTCCATCTGAGCATCAGGTTGGGGAAGGTTTCTCACCTGCAGAGTCCGGGTCCCTGAACAGTGTAGAGGGCTCTGCTCCCCTCTATGCAGCTCTGCCGTGCTCATGGGACGCACCCTAGTATCCAGGAGAGACCAGACGGTCCATCCGGCTAGTGCTTTTGGTCCCTTCCTGATTCCAGTGCTACCTAGCCCATCCATTCTTACCTGAGCACCACTTGAATGGGGGTTTCTGGTCCTTCTGGGCCCTGCTCCAGGCTCCAGGCTGGGTCTCTGTGGCCACAAAGAGAGTTACCATCCCTGTGCTTCCGTTCTGTTCTCTGGGCGTGCCTCAAGGGCTCCGAAACTTCACATGAATATGCTTACCCGTCAGGAGACCCACGTTCCTCCATGTCCTGTTCTGCACAGGATTCCTTTCCTTTTCAACAGCGGGACTGTCCACACACACCTTACATCCTCCTCCCAATCCCCCACAACCAGTCATCCAGAAAAACTCCAACCTGCTAGCAAGTTAAAGATTTACCCACCCCACCCCATGAAGTGGGAAAGTCCCATGACAGGACTTTCTAACTAGGGGGTTCTGGAGTCTGAGGATCCCTTGCTTTTGGCCAGTCTCTTCTGGTGGAATCCAAAGGACCACCCAGACCATTCTTCTTTGTCACAGAGAGACACAAATCAGCCGTGGGAAGGACTCAACCAAGGCCACAGAGCCAGAGAAAGAACTAGGTTCTTTTGGCACACACCCTCCCTCTCACAATAGCTCAGTCTCCCCCCCCCCCCCCCCACACACACACCACCACTGTGCCAAGCCCAGGAAATAGAGGACCACAGAAAACCTGGCTGGGAGGCCTCTAGGCTGAGCTGACATCAGCTTCCTATCATCTGGTTAAACATTGGTGCACCTGCCTCTGCTAGGCCAGAGCTAATCCAATGCTAGTGCGGCATGTAACCCCATTGGTCTGGCTTAACAGGGCAGCACCGTTAGCAGGGATGTCTATGAGTGTTCTCAGGCTGGGCCATCACTTGCTGGTCACCAGGATGACCCTAGGCCTGATCAGCCCTATGTAGACCTGCCTGTTGCTGCCGAGGACACAGGTGGCGACAGCCAAGGCTTTGGGGTCTGTGGGGAAGCACAGAGGCCTGTAGCTGAGGGTGCATGGAGTGAGAGGCCAGGCCAGGTGCTCCAAGTGGAACACACACTTCAGGAAGGCAGGGAGAGGTGAAGGGATGTGGCAAGGGGAGATGCTTGGGGGGCTGGCGAGGGGTGATCCTCTGCACTCCTCGGAGAACTAGGAAGCCAGTAAGGGTCACAAATAGGGAACTGACCATCAAGTTGCCATTGTTGTTGAGTCAGCAAGAGGACAAGAACATAAGAGTGCACAGGAGGCATCGTGGGCAGCCTGTGTCACAAACTTCCACTCTGGGCTGATGGTAGAGGTGATGGTGGGAAGAGCCAGGCCTTGAGCAAATCAAAAGCAAATGGTAGATGGGGTATGTAAAGAGGAATAAGTAAATATAACTGAAGACCTAGTCCCTCGCTACCCATCCCCACCGCAGGTACACTTAAGTATGGGCTTGTGTCATGGTGCAAGTATGGCTGTCAGAGGACAATCTTAGGTGTAGATCTCGCTGTCCATTAAGGAGAGGGCAGATAGATGTAGCTAAGTTGGCAGAGTACTTGCCTAGAATGGATGAAGCCCAAAGTATCTAATACCACAAAAAACTAGGCACATGCACATAATTCCAACACTCAGGAAGGAGATGCAGACATCAGAAGTTCAAGGTCATCTTAGGTTCATAGAAAGTTCACTGGCAGTCTGGAATCCATGAGAACCTGTGTAATGGTTAGTCTTGATTGTCAGCTTGACAGGATCTGGTGTTATTTAAAATACAAACTGAGCACTCATTGAGGAATTCTTTTGATCTGACTGTTTGGGGTGGGAAGACACACTCTAAATATGGATAGCACTTTCTGGTAGCAGCCCCAAAAAAAAAGGACATGGGAGAAAGAAACTTAGCTTTTTGCCTGCTTACCCTCACTTTGCAAGCAAGTTCATCTGCCTTGTTGCTGCCTCTGCTGAAGCATTCTTTTGCAGATATTAGAACCAGCTTGTTCAGGCTTCAGCACAGAGGAGAAATAGACAAGCCCACGGTCATAGATGGTTGCATGCATCAGGGTTCTCTAGTGGAACAGAAATGATTGGAGGAATGTGTGTGTGTGTGTGTGTGTGTGTGTGTGTGTGTGTTAAAGAGGGGTAGATTGGCTTACAAGACACAGTCTGGTACTCTAGCAGTCTTTGGTGTGGGAAGTCCTTCTATATATGTATTGCTTTTATTGGTTAATGAATAAAGAAACCATTTGGCCTGTGATAGGGTAGAATAGAGCTAGGCAGGAAACTAAACTGAATGCTGGGAGAAAGTAGGTAGAGTTTGTGAGACGTCATGTAGCTGCCGGAGGAGAAAGACGTGAGCTGTCAGCTGGAACCTTGCCTGTAGGCCGCAAACCTCATGATAAAATATAAAATAATAGAAATAGGTTAATTTAAAATATAAGTGCTAGCTTGAAATATGTATAAACTAATAGGCCAAGGAGTGATTTAATTAGTACAGTTTCTGTGTGGTTATTTCAAGTCTGGGTGGTCGGAAACCAATGAGCAGCCTCCGACAACAAGGCTGAGACACAGTAGATGCTCACTGCATGAGGCTGGAAGTCTCAGCACTCCAATTGTCTGCCACTGCAGGCCTGGAGGGATGCTGCACATGAACGGGGTGAATGAGCTTTGCCAGCAAGACTGCAAGGCAAATAGCCAAAAGAAATATGTTTTTCCTTAGGAAAGCTGTGTCTATGCTGCCACTGGAATGTGCCCCCCACATTAAGAGGCTTATTCCTTCTTCCCATCTGTGGGCTGGAAGCCTGGGTTAAATAAGGAGGAGGAAGCAAGTTGAACTCGAGTCTCTGCCTCCTGACTGTGGGATGTCCTTTTCTACATGTGTGGTTTTGTTGGTTAATGAATAAAGCTGTTTTGGCCAATGGCTTAGCAGAGTAAAGCCAGATAGGAGATCCGAACAGAGATAGAGAGAGTGGGAGGAGTCAAAGGGGCACCATGTAGCTGCTGAAGGAGAAAAATGCCAGAACCTTACCAACAGGCCACAGCCTGATGATGATACACAGATTAACAGAAATGGGTTAATTAAGATGTAAAAGCTAGCTAGGAATACTCCTAGCTATTGGCCACACAGTGTTGTAATTAATGTAGTTTCTGTGTGATTATTTGGATCTTCACAGCTGGGAAATGAACGTGCAGTCTCCTTTTACAGATGTGATGTGACCATGCATCTCAGTTTCCTCTGTTGTCACTTTCCATGGTGACTGTGCGTCCTCACACTGTGAGCCAAAATAAACCCTTCCTGAAGTGTGTTGTAGTCACAGTGTAACCAACCAAGAGGTTAAAAACTAATCATGAAAGAACATCTAAAGCTATTTTTTCAAGTTTTACCCTCATCATGATTTTTGTTCTGTTTTTGGAGAATTCTACTTTCTGTCTCTTGAAGTATCAAGAACCATTTTTGCATCCAAAAGAGTTGAAAATATGTTATCTCTTTGAGATCATGATTCTGAACACTGAGCTTTCTTTTTAATTTCATTGACCATTAGTGTCAGGACATGACAGGTCACAAAATACTTTTGTCACATTGACACATTTAGAAAAAGTGAATTAAAAAAATAATGTTCTGGAAAAGAGAGGTTTTCTAACCTGAATTCCCCTCCCCCTTTTGTTTAAAATAATTTCAGACTAGCCATGGTGGTGTAGACCTTTAATCCTGGCACTCAGAAAGCAGAGGGAAGCAGATCTCTGTGACTTAGATAGCCAGCTATGGCTACATAATGAAACCCTGTCTAAAAATAAAATTGTTTGAATTTATATCAAATCATATTATTAAAGTGTTATTAATTATATATATGATATTGCTAAACATAATTATGGTTTTAAAAACCTGTTTAAATAACTCATCTGAGCCAGGAAGATGCCTTGTGAGCGAAGGGACTTGAGGCTAAGACTGAAGACTGAGTTTAATGCTTGGGACCCTTAAGATGGAAAGAGAGAACAGACTCTCACAAGCTGTCTTTTCTCTGACTACACAGAACATGACAAACACGCACACACAAATAAATAAACATAAAACGTTAAAAAAAAAGGAAAGCAGACAAAACCAATCATCCGTTTCCAGCTCAGGAAGCTGGAAAGACAGCAGAGTCAGCTGAGGAAAAGAAGGAAGGAAATGGCGTGGCTAAGACCAGGGGTTAATAAAATGCATAGCTGGGACACAGCACAAAATACCAACAAAGACAAAAGTTGTCTTTTAAAAAAGTAATAATAATGAGGGGGCTGGAGAGATGACTGAGCAGGTAGAAGTTAGTCTTTGCTCTCACAGAGGACCACTGTTCAGGTTCTCAGCACTGCAGTTTTAGAACGATCCACTGGCCTCCGTTTAGACGAGCCCAGTTTGTTATTAAGTAAGGCTGCAGTGAGGAGTCAGGCCAACCAGGGTCTTGTCTTCTCTCTGCCAGGATCAGGGAGTGAGGACAGTGAGGCTGGGCCACTTCCTCCTCTTCTTCAGATGCCATCTTGATGAAAAGGCAGACATTGGCTTTTGAATGAGACCATTAACTCGTATAAATACTAAACTAATTAATACAGAGAGAAGATCCCCCCCCAAAAAATTCCAGCATCAGAAACAAAAAGTGGACTTCCAAGGAGGTCCATCCATCCAGGTCTAGTAAGGTGAGCATCCAAACTGCCTAGGCTCCCATAAAAAAATAATACAATAATAATAATACAATAATATACTATAATGTAAATGCCAAGTTTGACTATGTGTATTAACAGAGGATAAATTTCCTTCTATTCATTTAAAAAAAATAAATAAAGTCATATTCGCAGCATAAAAAAAAGCGGACCTCACTATGGATATTATAGACATTAAAAAATAAGATGCTTCTATCAATGTCTTTATTCTAATAAATCTGAAACTGGCCCCATCACTCACTTGGTAAAACGGTTAGGAAAGATGGGTACATGTCTGTGTGATTGTGAATCTCTTGATTTGTGGATTTGCAATTGAAAACCTCCCTACAAGGGAAACTCTTGATCCAGGGGTCCTCACTGGGGAATCTTACAAACACAGAAGAAGCAGTAAAGTCAGTTTGCACAAACTCAGCCCTGGAGCCAAAGGGTACACTTTCAAGTCTTTCTCCTTCCTTCCTTCCTCCCTTCCTCCCTTCCTCCCTTCCTTCCTTTTCTTTCTTGATGACTTAGTCCATGATATCCAATCCTTACAATGACATCAGACAAAAAGAAAATGTCAGGTATTAACTCTAATGAATACAAATATTAAAATCCCAAAGAATTATCATCAGTCAAACACAGCAAAATATAAAATACAATGCTTGAAAATCAACTAG